AAAATAATATACAAACATAAAATTTTTCTCTTGTTCGTACGAATCAGTTTAATTAATCAAATATTATGCATTTCATCAGGTAAATGAATAGCAAAATAATTCAAAGTTTCTATGGTTTTTGTTTCATAGGAAAGATTTATCATGTTTTAGAAAGTATACAAACTCTAGTAAGCTATAGCCAGATCTGTAAGTATCTACCAAGTCTTGTCTCCTTTGCCTATGTATTTTCGTTCTAATCATCACCTTCAAGAAAAGGACTGTTTTATCACACGTGGAAACGTCGCATCGCGTTGTATAAAACTGCAAGACCCACATGCATGCGTATTATGACATGTATAATTAACAAAATATTTTTATTGATTGTCATCGAACATACTAGCTGAAATAATTTTATGTGAACGTATAAAATCAAAACTTTAACTCTGTTTTTAATACTATTAGAAATCATAACGAAAAAAAATATTTAACAACAATGTACAGTTTGAACCCGAATTGACTACAGATTCTCTATAGAAACGAAATGGAAAAACAACGATCAAAATATTTGAAAATTCTTTTCTGTAACATCAAATCTTGCGGTACATTCTAAGATAATTTCTATGCTTGAATTTTATAAAAATATCAATTGATGAATCGTTTCTATTTTATCATAGCAATAAATATTATTTCAAATATTCAAACCACAAAGAACTTTATGAGTATTATAATCATATCATCATTTGGTACTACAGCCAATATTGAACAGAAATAAACGCAAGGTTTACCTTCTTACTTGACTAGAGATAGTGATGGATGAAGGAGAAGAATCGATGTGTACTGCTCATGTTCATATTTATTTCTATAATTTTCAAGCTTAATCTTTATTGATTTTTCTATGCTAGTTTAATTTCAAAATCAATCATATAGCTTTAATAACTCATCGATTTATGTACATCGACTATACCTAAAACAAATCTCATACAACGACAAAACAAATATTGTAGCATTGATCATTATAATGTTGAATCATAGAAGAAGATGTTTAATAGAATTACATTTTTCTGTTCATTGTTTCTTAACTAAATTGAATTCTTACTACGTACAATTAGATTTAAAATAATCATAAGTTTTTCTAATATTTCCTAACAGTCAATTTATTTTTAATAATCGTTGATTAGTTCAGATTAAATTGAAATCCAGCTACAATTAGCACATTGTTAAACATTATTTCTCATTTAAACTCATACATAAGTACATAAACATCTTAAATAGGTAATCAATTCACAATAACTGTGATGAAACATTCAAAACGAAGATTTTAGTACTGATAGTATGGTCGTCAATTGCAAGAACTTGCTTATAAGAATATAAAATAATGACACATTCATCAAAGTAAAAAACATTGTTTACTATCATATTGAAAACAAAACATATGACCATAACAAGTAACATATGCATTATCAAATGCCATTTATTGATTTTCGTTTTAAATTGAGATTCTTGAAATCCATAGCTTTTACTACTTTCATCTTTCAGGGAAAACTGTCTAAGATTTTCACTGAAGATTTATTAGAATATGGAATCCATAATGGTGATTAAGAATATAACCTTGTCATTGTCTACTTTGTTTTTTTTCGTCAATGAGAAAATGAAACTTTCAAGATTTCCAAAGTTTTAGCGATAATAATGATTTTTAGCTGCATTCTAATTTCTCTATCTCGAATAAAATTCTTACAGAAATATTTTGAAAAAGTAACTAAGCATTCTGTATCTCTTAATATATCTATCAATGTACTTTAATGTATATATAGCAGTTCGAAAGTTCAAAATAAGGAAGAAAATCGAGCCAAATTTTAGTTAGTTTTTGGTATTAGAGTGTTAGTATTACATCATTTGACTTCGTTGTTTTCTAAAGATAATCCGAGATAGACTTTTTCAACAGAAGAATCTAATCTTTCTTAGGTAATCATTAGTATTCTTCAATAAATCAATGTCTAGCTCAAAAATTGAGTTAATAAGTATAAGCATGAACGTAATATATGTATATACATTTTTCTTTTCTTCAATTCGTCAGTATCTCTAATCAAATAAGGAAGTAGATCTTATTACTTACACAAGGTTGCCATCTTGTTTATTAAAAACTCACTATGGACTAACTGTGAAAAATATTTTGCAACTTGTTGGTTCATTATTACGGCTACTTGAGGTGTAGGTGGGCGTTTGGTTGTTGTTGTAAGTATGGTTCTCAGTCATCTCTTCATCCATCCCTACAAGCTGACTTTATAAAAGTCACTTCACAATATACTACATACAGTGATATTGAAATGTATATTTAATGAGTGCTACATGTATTTTAAGTAGTTTATAAAAATTTCTTTTTTATCATTTTTATTAGTTAAAATGTCAATTTTCATATCGCAACTGTTAAACATACTGATTTTACTAGTGTCAGATCTCTATAATATTAATCTGTTCAGATCCAATGTTGCGGTTAGTTCATATACAAGAACTGTATTTGCTCCATCGAGCTTGACGCACACGGATTTTACGCGAGGCAATATACTAGATGATGACTTTAGTTTTGCTGGTATATAATAAATTAATTTCATTAAAGTTGATTTAAAATTAGCTACATTATCAGGTGCAAAATTAATTGATGCTATTATTGACAAAACAAATATTACTATGGGCAATTTTTAACTTTCCATTAGGACAATTAAGATAAGTATTTCAAATAAACGATTATTATGTAGTACTTCAATACGAGGTACTGTACTACTCAACGGTACTGTTAATACTCAAGGTCTTAAATATTTTACGCCGCGAAAATGCTGATTGCAAGAATCATTTATCTATGAGTGGTTTGTAAGTAAGAATATCGAATGCCATCATTATTTCGACTAGGGATAATGATAGAACCGTTTCACGTCAACATGAAGATACTTGTTATTTTCATCACAATCCTCTAGAATATTGAGAGAGGACTATCTTCAAGCATCTGTGATCATCTATAGACGGGGCGAATATATCGCAGCATGAACAAGAAAATGAGTTCTGACTATGGAATTTGAAGTCGATTAAAAAACTTCAAATGCCTTCAAAAGTTCAACAGACTGAAACCCAAAAGATCTATAACATCAAGATCAAAAAATTCGAAATTCCATGATTCAAAAATCCACAATATCATGTCGAAATGCTTGCCAGTCTATGAGTCAGGATGCGGATTCGCTTTCTGGCAATAAACTTCAATACTTATTTCCAATCGTATCTCACGCAAAAAATAACAATGATAAGTAATTAGAGATCATAAATACCAAACAATCAATTTACCGGAAGAAAACAGCGCATTATCTGAATTAATCTGTTTCTCTATCTTGTTATACAATACAATAAAATTGTGAGCAGAAAATCCGCATACAAGCGGTATTGTGTATAAGGGAAAGGGAGAGCCTACGAACTTGCATTGAAACTCAGACTCACTATTTTACACAGAGTTCTATAGAGAGAAAATTCATGTCGGATTCTTGTCGAGTCTGTTAAAAATCTGGTGTAGCAATACCAAAGATTGTCTCCAAGGCCACTTGGAATTGAGTAGTTTGTAATCAAACACTGTTTTCTCTAGGATACAGGACACGAACATACTAAAGTGCATCACTTGACAGTGTTTCCTTAAAATGTCATCATTTGAAAATCGATATGATTGATACATTATCTCAGTTGCCATTTAACATGGAAACATATTCGTCATCAGTAGCACATAGTTGAATCATTTGAAGAGCGGTAATTTATCAATCTAATTCACATCTCATAGTTATGCAAAAAGCAAGATATTTGTAAATATACTTCTGTATATCAGATGTAAAAAGAACACAAAATTATAGAGCTCCATTGAAATGATCATGGAAAGGTTCAATGATAACACCGTACATTGCTCTAGTCTATGTTTCTAATATGATAATATATTATTCAGTCTATTTTCCAAAAACAAAAACTAATCTTAAATAACAGTTTTTAAAATTTTTCATTCATCATCTATGCACAATAAACTGTGAAGATACAATTTAATTTTCTAACCGTCAACCATAATGGAGCATAGCCACATGAGGTTCAAATTTTTCTCTTCGAAACAAGTTAGCCAAAAGCAATCTGATTGTAGTAGACAAAAACACTAATGAGGCTTCTACTAATGGGAAAAATATTCTGGTAAACTAGCCACAGTCACTATTTATCTCACACTTTCAAAAATGATTTCAAGGATAACAACTGAAGGAACACGAGTGAAATGTCAGCAAACAAAACTAATATTTCAAAAAACAGCCTTCTATTAAAACCCAAAGGAAAACTAATGAAAAGAACAACCCCAGACAACGTATACAGTGCAAAAACCATTTTTTCACTTTCTGCTTCGAATAAGACGAAACTCGAACTCTTCGTAGTGGAACTGAATTGCTAAGCCATCACGAATTAGATCGTGATCAAAAATACTTTAAAAACATGTCATCAATAAACTATATCACAAAAGTCTCGCAAGGATAAAATTCCCTAAACATATTACCAACACGCAAAAAGAGAAATTACAAAACAAACAAGAAAATATTGAGTGCTATCAAGTCCAGTAATCAAATTTTTGTCACTTTAACTATAGCGTGAAATTTATCCATAGAAGGCAAAATGCCACCTCATGAAGCGCTTAAGCGAGGCCGAACCTGGTATTGATGGCTCGATTATTATTGATGGTTACTATCATGTGAAAGTGACTCCAACTGGGCAATGTAGCGATTACAATTTTTCTCAGCTCTATTATGAAAATTCAATTTTTATCATGAATTTATTAGTATATAGTGCAGGATTATAATAAATATTTTTCTTGCATGGTTAGTAAAGAAGGACAAAAATCAATCAGAATAAAAAGTGCTTTGTGCCACTAAATTCACTGAACATGGAATAAACTACTGTGTTAATGTCACTGTCATAGTTTCATGTTGTCAGATACTTCTGACAAAAAAAGCTCCGTTCACACACTAAATGCAAACATCGATAAAAACACCAATCGCGTTTGTATCGCTATTTGCGACAACGACATCGGGTCTGGCGTCACCAGTCACATCACCTGTCACAACAGACACTGGTACTGAGCCAGCACCAGCGGAGAAGACTACTTGAGCGACAGGAAATGTGCCATCACCGTTATTCAATAAAACGCCAAATTCGTTTGTACCACTATTTGCAACAATAATATCCAATTTGCCGTCTCCATTCATATCGCCTGTTGTCACAGACATCGGCGCTGAGTTAGCGAGAGTTCCATAAGTGGCTCCTTGAGTAGCAGAAAATGTGCCACTACCACTATTCAAGAAGACACCAACGTTGTTGGAATCCTTAAAAGCAACAATAATATCAGTTTTACCGTCGACATTCACATCAGCTGCGGTCAAAGACACCGGTGTAGTGGCACCGGCAATTGCTAGGGGGTTCGCTTGAGCAGTAAATGTGCCAGTACCGCTGTTCAAGAAAACACCAACGTTATCTGAACCACTATATGCAACAATAAGATCAGCTTTACCATCGCCATTCACGTCGGCTGCTGTCACGGATACCGGCGTCGTGGCACTGGCAATTGTAAGGAGGTTGGCTTGAGCAGTAAATGTGCCAGTACCACTATGCAAGAAAACACCAACGTTGTTTGAACTACTATACGCGACAATAATATCACCTTTAGCGTCACCGTTCACGTCGGCTGTTGTCACAGACACCGGCATTGTGGCGCCGAAAATCGCAAGGAAATTTGCTTCAGCAGTAAATGTGCCAGTACCACTATTCAAGAAAATCGCGACGTTGTTTGAAGCACTATATGCCACAATAATATCTGCGTGGCCATCAGCATTCACGTCCATTTCTGTCACCGAGGCCGGTGTCTTGGTGCCGGTAACTGTAAGGAAATCTGCTTGAGCAGTAAACGTGGCAATAACAGTGCTCACGAAAATGCCAATGTTGTTTGAACCACTATACGTGACAATAATATCAGGTTTGCCATTGCCATTCACGTCAGCTGTTGTCACAGACGCTGGTGCAATGGCACCGGAAATAGTAAAGGTGGTTGATTCAGGAGTAAATGTGCCAGCACCACTGTTTAAGAAAATACCAACGCTATTTGAATTATTATAAGCAACAATAATATCAACTGCACCGTCAGCATTCACATCAGCTGTTGTCACAGACACCGGCGCTACGGCACCGGAAATAGTAAGCGGGTTTGGTGCAGCAGTAAATGTTCCAGTGCCACTATTCAAGAAGATGCCAACGTTGTTTGAACCACTATATGCGACAATAATATCAGCGACCTTGTCGCCATTCAGGTCGGCTGTTGTTACAGACGCCGGTCCTGTGGCGCCGGGAATTGTAAGGGGAGTTGGCTGAGCAGTAAATGCGCCAACACCATTATTTAAGAAAACGCCAACGTTATTTGAACCATTATACGCGACAATAATGTCAGGTTTGCTGTCGGCATTCAGGTCAGCTGTTGCAACAGACACCGGTGTTGTGGCACCGGCAATTGTAAGTGCGGTGGCTGTAGCAGCAAATGTGCCAGCACCATTAGCCAAGAAAATGTCAACCGTGCCTGTACTACTATATGCGACAATCAAATCAGGTTTGAGGTCAGCATTCACGTCAGCCGTTGTCACATATGTTAGCATTGTGGCACCGGGAATTGAAATGGGTAAGCCTTGAGCAGAAAATGAGCCAAGACCATTATTCAGGAAAACGCCAACGTTGATTGAACCATTATACGCGACAATAATATCAGGGTACTTGTCGGCATTCAGGTCAGCTGTTGTAACAGACACCGGTGTTGTGGTACCGACAATTGTTAGAGGGTTGGCTTGAGCAGTGAATGTGCCAGCACCGCTGTTCAAGAAAACACCAACTTTGTTTGAAGCACTATACGCGACGATAATATCAGCTTTGCCATCGCCATTCACGTCAGCCGTTGTCGTAGACACCGGTGTTGTGCCACCGGCCATCGTAAGGAGGTTGGCTTGAGCAGTAAATGTGCTGGTAACACTGTTCAAGAAAACAGCAACGTTGTTTGAGCCGCTGTAAGCAACAATAATATCAGCTTCACCGTCAGAATCTACGTCAGCTGTTGTTACAGACACCGGTGTTGTGGCACCAGCAATTTCAAGAGTAGCTAGTTGAGTAGTAAATGTGCCAGTACCATTATTCAAGAATACGCCAACGTTGCTGGAACCCTTGTAAGCGACAATAATGTCCGGGTACTTGTCGAGATTCACGTCAGCTGTGGTCAAAGACACCGGTGTTGTGGCACCGGCAATTGTTAGGGGGTTGGCTTGAGCAGTAAATGTGCCAGTACCGCTGTTCAAGAAAACACCAACGTTGTTTGAACCACTATACGCGACTATAATATCAGCTTTGTTGTCGCCGTTCACATCATGCGTAGTGACAGAGACCGGTCTGGTGGCACCGGTAATTTTAAGGGGATTTGCTTGAGCATTAAATGTGCCAGTACCGCTATTGAGAAAAACACCAATGTTGTTTGAGCTACTATACGCGACAATAATATCAGCTTTGCTGTCGCCATTTACGTCGCCTGTGGTCACAGACACTGGTGTTGTGGCGCTGGCAATGGTAAGGAGATTCGCTTGAGCAGTAAAAGTTCCAGTACCGCTATTGAGGAAAATACCAATGTTATTTGAGCTACTATACGCGACAATAATATCAGCTTTGCTGTCGCCATTTACGTCAGCTATTGTGACAGACATCGGTGTTGTGGCCCCGACAATAGTAAGGAGATTTTGTTGAGGAGTGAATGTCCCGGTACCACTATTCAAGAAAACGCCAATGCTGTTTAAGGCACTATAGGCTACAATAATATCAGGTTTGCCGTCGCCATTCACGTCATTTTCGGTGACAGACGTCGGTGTTGAGATATTACCAGCGGCATAATAGGCTGGCGCGGGAAATGTTGGCGTGCACCCTGAAGAAGTTCCCGTTAATGTTAGTGAAGAAATCTTTTTTTTTGATTTGATAATGAACGGAAAAGGATTTATATCTTGGGAATGGGTCACAAGTGGATTTTTCGTTGATTTTTAAGATAGAAACGGGTTGTTGTCTTTTATATTTCGGAGAAATTGTTGATTAATGATTTCAAAAACAGAAAGAAAGGTATTTGTCTCGTTGCAAACTCATAAAGCGTTTTTTTACGATTGATCTTGTTAATATGAAAAGGGGCTGGGAAAAATTTGTAGAATAATCGGCAAGTATTGTTTCATCATTGCAATTTCATCAGTCATGAACTGATTTAGGTAATGGCTGATTAGAGCCGATAGATAAAGATGAAAAGATACTGAAGTTGTGGTCTCGAAAAATCTTCCCTTTTCGAATACGTCAAATAATTCCCCTTAAAGTGCGTAAGTTTCGTTTGCATCGTGTTTCTTTTTGTAGGTAGAAATGGGTATCTCTATGCTGCCTTCTCGACTGCTTGGCATCATTGCTGTTCTTAATTATGGCAGGTATATTAATATCTATCTGGTGTATAGATCTGACTGGATGTCAGGGTGCGGTGTTAACCTGCGTCATGCGTCTGGGTTGGGGAGATGATTTAGTATGGGGGAGAGTTTTAAGAATAACTTAGACCGGAACCACAGCCACAGACCCCTCCCACACCCAGTGTCAACGATAGCTGATTGTGCGGAAATAACTATCGATTATATAGTTACATGTGATGTTGTCGAAGTCAAGCAATCGAATGTGAGCGATAGTTATTTATATTTTTCGAGTTTGTTCTTTCGCTCTGACTTGACTTATAGTCACACAATAGCTTTCCTTTGTGAACTTCTATGACTGCGAGACATAATTTAAAAGTTCTTAAAAGGCATCTATATATTTGAATTGCTAAACGGCACTTATTATTTTACAGATGTTTTTGGAAGAACCTTACTATCGAAAAATTAGTGTCCAACGCAAGTGAATGAGTTCATCCAAAAAATCAGCAATAGCTGATGCACGTATTTTATTTTGTATCCTGGAACCCCTTGGTTACAACTCTAAAATATTGTCGCTTTCTCAAAATAGGTTTCTCTTGTAGAGATGTTGGGTTCGAAACGTTTGCATCTGAAGCAACTTTAATGAACGTTTACCACATCTACACCTGAGCACGATCTTTACTACTAACATTCTCAGTGTTTTTTTTCTGCTTTGGTTATCGCTTCAAAGATATGAGATCCTTTTTGCTATTATTTGTACTCACGACTAACACATCCAAGGTATTTTTCACGCAGTTTTCACAGTGATCTCATGTAAGATTTTTTCAGAGTGCAAGATGTAGTATATTAACGGAATTTTGGATTGATATGCACGAAGCTGAGAAGATATCTCAAGTAATAGGAATACTACAGGTCTCATCTCGTGACTTGGAAGCTTTTATTCGCGTTGGAATAGGAATAAGGCACATCCTCCAATCAATGCGAACTTGGAGAGGATTAAACTGGACGGTAGATGGGCAAGACAATCTTGAATTTTAAGATTTCTTTGGATTCCATAGAATTCAGTTAAATTCTACAGAATTTCAGGATCTCACGATTTCTGTTTACTCCTTGACACAATAGCCTTTTAATGCACTGATGTCTGCTATGATCATTCATTGATTTGCCAATTTTTACCATTTCGAGAAAAATGAAAGTTCCGAACATCAAAATCGCTGTTCACAAAACTTATTGAAGATTAACGAAAATCTATATGAATAACTCTAAAACACTTATAGTATCTTGAAGCATGCATCCCTGTGCTATAATTCGCATGAATGTCTACTAACTCCCCCTTCTGCCAGAAACCATGTCACAAAGTACCGTTTTTCATAATGTCACAAAATAAAAATAACACGTGACTGAAAACTTAAAGCTGATACTCTCGTCACTGCATGACTATACGAGGAAACTCATATATAGGGTGGTAGGTATCGAATTAAAGAGACAACTCGCGACCGACTACTTGAAAGGTGTTCTGTATGGCAACCAAGCGACTATTAGGCTCTAAAGATTCTGGTCGAACTCAATTGGGAAGTCAAACAATTGTTGCATCACTACTATAGTGATCACGATGCCGATTTGACCAGTCAAAGAATT